TCTGGGAAAAACTAGAAGATAGGATGATACTGAGCCCATATTCTGGCATGGCAACTCTAGGCTGGGGCTGATGGGAGCTGTCCCCAGCAGATGGCGCATGTACCAGTTAGCCTTTGCCGTGTAAGAAACCACCACAAAGATCAGTGACTTAGAACATGACCACTTATTAGCTACAATTCTGGGTGTCCACAATTTAGGCCAGGCTCGGCTACCCACTTCTTCAGCTGGTCTTGCCTAGGTTCATGCGTAAGACTGCCGTCAGAGGCTGACAAATATTGAACAGAACACCCGGATTCTCTTCCACACGGCCTGCCCAGTAGGCTAGCTCAGTACTCTTTGTCAGCAAAAGAAGGCAGGTCCCAATACGCAAGCATATTTCAAGCCGCTGCCTACATTCCTTTTATCAATATCCCATGGTTGAAATAAGATATAAGATCAACCAGATTCAAGGATCAGGGAGATAGACTTGACCTCTTGACAGGAAGAATACAAAGAATCTGAGGTTATTTTTTCACAGCTCTCCAGTTCACCATAACCCCTACCTCACAGAAACTAGGATCGGTGGTCGGGAGAGGTGGGTGTCAGTTGTCACTTTGTCTTGAACCTGAGCTACTGGCTTTCTTACATCTGAAGTCTTCCTCAAAACTTCCCTATACCTGGAACCCTGTAAACAGCCAAAATAAGGAACTAGCCCTAGAACTCTTACCTGTGACTTGGCTCAGAACAAGTATGCCAGTCCCCTTCCACTCAAACATATGGCAAAATGGATCTGATGGAAATAAAACCCAAGAGGATCCAAAGCAGTAGATGGAGGCTCTGCTTGGTGATGCCAAAGGAAGGGAAGGATGGCCACTCTCCCAAGTGGTGAATGACAAAGCACAGAGCACCAGCACTGCTGAGACCCACGAGGGTCAGGCATGACCCAGTGGCAGAGGGGGTGGGCGCATGACACAGGGCACCGCTTACAAGGCAGCCCCGGGAGAGCTACCAAAGAGACAACTGAGGACAAGGGAAGAAGATAACACTCCCCCTTCACAGTCAGTTCTCATCAAACCAGCTCTTAGGCAGAACACTCAGAGGTGGCAGAGAGCCAAGCCCAGCATGCGCAGGGAAGTGGTGATGCCCCACACTGTACGTGGCAAGGCATGTGGGGAACCCAGAGGATTGCAAAACAGGATACTCAGGGATAAAACGTAGTCCCAGTGAGCAAAAATTCCCATACATAGTACAGAACATCTCCAGATGACGCAAGAGGATGGCCGGGATGCATGGGTGGGACAAGGGCAAGTTCTACCAGAACTAACAGGGAGCACCTGTTACAGTGAAAACGGTTGTCCTTCCCCCTCTTTCCATGAGACTTGTTTGGCTTTTGTTTCCAGGGGTACAAAAGTGTGTCCGAAATTAATAAATGTCTTAAAAGATGACATTATAATTCATTGCTAAAATACACACTGCAATGAAATGCTTAACACCCCTTATGAAGTACTTTTGACAAAAATGAACAAATCTAATCCAGCCTTTAGACTTAACTTCTAGGATACAGGAAATATTGGGCACAGAGGACTAAGTAAGGTAACACCATGAAGATACACTCCAACATTCAAAAAGGTGGGGACTTTGTGCAACTCAGCTGGCCTAGCCGTTTGTCATGGTTATTTTTAAAAGGGGAGGGTGGCAGTAAGCTCTTCTAGAATGAGACAAAAGAGAAACATCAAGTAAATGCAATTTAGGAATACTGACTGGAATCTGTTCCTAAAAGAACTAAAATCCCAGCCATAAAAAAACACTTGGGAAGTCATTAGGGAAACTATAACAAGGACTGTTCATTAGATGGTATCAGGAAATTACTGTTTCTTAGGCATGATAACAGCATTGGGTGTATGTAGGAGAACATTGTTACTTTAGGAGATGCAAGCTTAAGTATTTTAAGGTTTGGGCCAGTTACCATGATATCATTTCTTGAGTGCACATTCAGCCTTCTACACTTGGCCTTGGATGCTGGGTCTACAAACCACATGACACGCTCTGCTAACCAAGGGCACGAGAGAGACTGTAAGGCTGGAAGAGGAAGAGGGGACCCGCTCCTCGCTGCCGACTTTCTGTCCCTGCTCTGCGACCCAGCACGGCTCCTTCAACCCGGCCACTATGCTTCTTTCCTGTAGCGGCCTCAGTACTCAGCCCCTGGAGACCCCAAACCCCTCCCACCAGCCTCTTCCTCGGGCTCTGGGCCAGCCCCACAGCCCAGAGACCAGCACCAGCTGAGCAGCGCCTTGGCCTCAGACATCAGCATTTCAGCCACATGACAACCTCTCCTCTAGGTTTCTAGTTTTAGGATCCCAACCTTTCACCTTTATGCCACCAGCCCTAAATTGACACCTGCTTCCTGAAATTGCGTTCTTCATGATTCCATGGAGTTCTCTTTTGACTCTTTCAGTTACCTGGTTAATAACTTTAGACCTAGTTAAGTCATTTTAGCAAGTTCTCTGCACTCAGATAGCAGGGGATTTCTGTCTACCCAGTAGGTGAAGGATCGTAATGTTTACAACTGGCTTTAAAAAGATTCAGCCAAAAGGAAACAATATAGATACATATATGTACAGATAACAAAACACGCAGGCACACAGACATGTATTGAGACAAAGGAACTGAGACAGATTTGTTGAATCTAGGTGGTGAGGATAGCAATGTTCACCAAAGTAGACCTTCAACTTTTCTATGAGTGTAAAATTTGTCATACTAAAAGGTTGGAAAAAAGAAGAAAATAAGGATAATAATAACTAATTCATGGTATTGTTATAAGAAGTAAGTTGAAATACCAATTAAGACAAAAATTTACTTTGCCATTTTCACAAGAACATCTGAAGCCCAAAGGCCATTTACCCTAGGATAGGTCTGGGTCCTGCTGGCAAGGCTCCTCTGCTCTCCTTGAAAGAAAAGGCAAGATAATGTGTAAGCAGTAAATCAGGGTCTACAGACAGTGGCTGCACCTACCATCATCCACAGAGGCCCTGACTGGGCAAAGAATAGCAATAATATTAATAACAATGTATGAGTTTAAGGTGTACGATATAATTATTTGATATATGTACATACTACAAAATAGCTGCCTTAAGAAGACCCTGTTCTCCTTTATTGCAACACTTTACAATAGCCAAGATATGGAAGCAACCTAAGTGTCCATCAGTAGATGAATGGATAAAGAAGATGTGGTACATATACACAATGGAATACTATTCAGCCATAAGAAGAAAACAAATCTTAACATTTGGAACAACTATGGATGGAGCTGGAGGGTATTATGCTCAGTGAAATAAGCCAGTCAGAGAAAGACAAATACCAAATGATTTCCCTCATTTGTGGAGTATAACAACAAAGCAAAACTGAAGGAACGAAACAGCAGTAGAGTCACAGACTCCAAGAAGGGACTAGTGGTTACCTAAGGATAAGAGTGGAGGACGGCAGATGGGGAGAGAGAGAGAAGGGGATTGTGGGGTATCATGACCGGTGTGTGGGGTCACTGGGAAGACAGTGTGGCTCAGAGAAGACAAATAGGGACTCTGTGGACTCTGATGGACAGTGACTGCAATGGGGTATGGGGGGTAACTTGATAATAAAGGTGAATGTAATGACCACATTGTTTTTCTTGTGAAATCTTCATAAGAATGTATATCAATGATACCTTAATACAAAATAATAATAATAAAATTAAAAATTAAAAAAAGAAGACACTGTTCTTTCTCAAACACTACCCTGCTTTTCCTCCCAGGCTCTCTTGGAGGCTAGCCTTGCCTTTGATCCTGATCACTGTCCCCACATTGTGCTGGGTTTCCACCTTTGGTTTCTGGGCAGAGTTCTGTCTGTGATACCACTGAACAATCAGTCTATACCCACCATTGGCCATTTAGTCTAGATCCTTCCCTTCGTTGGCTGAGCTCTCACTGGGTCTGCTTTTTAGTGAGCAGTTGGTTTTACTGCCTGAAGAAAAACATCTGGCTACCTCAGCCCCAGTTAAATTTCACTCAGACAAGGCAGATGTGTGTGAATTCTAAGATGACCCTGAAGCAGAAGGCGAGGGGGTCACCCTTCCACCTCTTCCAGACCTTGTCGTGGAGAGGACCATGGAGGAGGCAGCCCCGGATGGAACAGCAGCCCCACCCCAGGAAAGGGCAGACCCAAAGCATGGGACCACTTGGCCGCGATGGCCCTGCGGCCTGCTCTGTTGTTTCCTAAGTCTGGAACAGGCTCCCTGTCTTGCCTCCCTCCAAAGCCTTCTCATCTAGTGAGGTCTGGCTCAGCTGTTACATCCTGCATAAAGCTTTCTCTGTTTCTCCCAGTGACAAGTGGCCGATAAACACCTGAAAGGTTTCACCTTCACTCACAATCAAGAAAACAAACATTCAGACAACAACACTTTTCACCCCTCAGATTATGAAAAAACGAAGTGTTTGAAATACCAGGTATCCGAATGGGTGTGGGAAGACAAGGCCTCTCATATCCTCTTTGTTGGGCTTTAGACTGGTGCAGCCACTATGGAGAATAAATTGGTAGTATCTAGTAAGATTTTTCAACATACATACCTTATGAATAAGTGACTCTGTGTCACATCACCCACCCTTGAAGAGATACTCCTTGCACAAAAGAGTGTTGACAAGAATATTGAGAGTTGCTCGAAATAGAGACAAATTAGAAGCAACCTAACCATCCATCAATAGGACAACAGATAAACCAACTATCATGCAGCCTATCTATACAATATCAGTGAGTCTTACCTATATTTTGGAGCTTCAAAAGCAACATATTTGAGTAAACAGACTACTGGTGCTATGTGATTTTATCACCCCAAATTGGAAATTTTATTTGCATGAACTAGAATGCCTAAGTTATTTCAGCCCAAAGCCAGAGCCAGGATTTAACACCAGGTTATTTGTCTCCGGATACAGAGCTGTTACCCATTCCATTGCCAAGTAAAAGATACCATGTAACTTACCTGTGTTCAGTATACTGTGGGAAACCAATCTAGTGAAATGACTTTTTTTATAACCACCAAGGAATCTTTGTTAAATTGTTTGTAGTTTTGTAAAACTTTTTAATTCCTCAAAATCAAAGCTGAATGGGAAGAGAGAGAGAAAAAAAAAAAGACAGACCTAATACCATCATTCCACTCATTTCAGCTTCATTTAATCCTGTACATTCAATTCTACTCATCAATGGACTGGACAAGTGGCTGAAATAGCCAGAATCCTGGCCAGATCACAGACCACATGTAGAAATGCTCGTCTCTACTCAACTGACTAGAACATTTAAGCAAACGTTTGATAGGACTGCACTGAGAAGACTAATAGCTGTGCTCATTATGACCTTAAAAATAGACACTGTGATGGTCCAAACTTTCTCCCTTTTATTCATTATGTCTGAGTACTGAAAATCTGTTATTTTAGTGCATGCAGTATCTATGCCTCCTTTTTATCTTTTTTTTCTTTTTGATAACAACACACTTGTCCTTTGGGAAATTATTCTTCCCTCCCACCTCCTACACACACCCTCAGCCCCACTACCACACACACACCCATTGCATACAGCATTGGTGGGCCTGTCAATCCAGGCATCCCGTGTTCCCTTGCCAAGGAGTTGGTACTGGACCCAAGATAGGTCAATCAGACCCTCTCTCACCCAGGAACTCTAAAGCTACGGTAGAATCATACAAGACCAAAAAATGTTAGACTTGGTAGACTTGTCAGTAAAGCCCCAGGAGACGACATTTCAGGTCCACTACCCACACCCCCAGCATTGTCCTGCTTCCCCTCCTTTGTGTGACTCAGGCACTCAGCTTCTCTTTTGATCCTGTGAGTGCACTCAGTGTCCTACTGATAAGTTCCCAGAATGTTTCCATAACTTGCACCAGACTAACCTTGCCCAATACACTGAGCAAAACAATCTCAGAAAATTCCTATTTACCTTTCCCAGAGACTCACCAGATTTAAAAATCTGAAAGGCCCTGAAAGCTTCCCTAATGGCCTAACCTCCTCATTTTATCAAAAAAGGACACTGCCATCCTGAAAGGTCAGACAACACAGCCAGTGTCCTTCAGTCAATAGCGGCGGTCAGGTTTCCTACCTGCCTGTGTTTCCTGAGCAGATTCCCAAACAATTTCCATTTTCCATGGAGATACATTCTAAACTGCTCTGGCTAGAAGATCTGAATTGTGGCTATTTTTCCTCCCTTTCTGTGCCAAAACTGGCCTGCCACCACCACTCATCAAATGCTGCACAAGAGTACGTGCCTCCTTTAAAAATAGTCCAGTGCATTTGCATCCCGCCAAAATGTTCACAGCCTGCCACTCATCACAGCCCTTAAGCTCCGTGTCCCGAAGGCTCCTGCCTTCCATAGAGAGCTCCAGCTATGCAGTGTGGCGGTTCCCACTCCAGGGTTCATGTCAGCAGCTCACCACGGACCACCACGCCAAGCCATGGACATTCTGTTCTGAGTGTGGCCCCAGTATGTTTCATTTCGGCTGCAAAGCACAAGTTTATTCTGGAGAGAGATGTTTGGGGCAATTCATAGCAGCCAATGAGCAGTACTTCCTCATATGCAGAACACAAAATCATCACATAAAAATCTGACCCAACTGCCAGTGTGGGGTTTAAAATAAAACTCCCCCCTAAAATTACCACTCCGGGCTGGCCAAGTTTGCACCTCAGAGTCACAGGCTGCAGCGGTGGTACCTCTGTACAAAGCAGACAGTCTTTCGGTTCTTTGGGGAACAGCTGGAGACTGAAGCTTCCATTTTTCTCTGTCGAACCAGAGGTCTTCACTGGTCAGTGCACACATGTCTGAAAGCTGTCCCATCTGAAAAGCAATGACAAAGTTAGCATAAGTGCTTCCCTGCAGGGATTCCCAGAACTTCAGAGCAAGAGCAGGAGGGGAACCCAGGCTTGCCTACACTCTCCAGGGGAGCTGAGAAGCATGCTGCCCTGCCTGTACCCAACCAGGTCAGCCCTGGGCCTTTTCTCATGCTTTCCCTCTGCTCTGCACATCCTGTTTCCCTCTTCACTTCAGGAAGCATTCTCCAAACCCCATCTATCTCTCCACCTCCAACCTGCTCAAGGTCCCCGCAGCCCATCTCGTCCACCGGCTCCCCTCTGTAATGAAACTCCATTGTGCAGCTCTTTTCTCGTTGCCCATTTGCTAGTCTCTCTCCTCCACTGGACAACAGTGGGCCCTTGAGAGCAGGGCCTGGAGCACACTTGTCTCCATGACTGCAGTGTCCAGCACAGCGCCATGCCCGCAACAGGCATTCAGCGTGGAGAATGGACTAAAGACCCTAGAGCACTACAGGCGCAACGCTGGCCACGGCTCCAGGCCCAGGGAGGAAGCAGCTCCACCAATGGTCGCTTTGCTCCACCTGTGCCGACCCACTGTGCCAGGAAAGAGATGGCCTGGCCTCACAACCTGCAGCCCTTCACACAGCCCACAGTCCCCAAGTGTTGGGACAAGTGGTACCTTCAAAAGGCTGTCAAGAGTTGCATTTGAGATCAAGGCATCTAGAACCAGACAGTGAGGCTCAAATTCTGCCTCCAATACTCACAAGCTTTAACATGGGCTAACACCAGCTAATACAACCTCCTGGTGCCTCAGTTTCCTAATCCATGAAATGGGGGTAATTATAATACAACATCATAGAGTTGCTGTAAAGAAAAGTGAGTTAATCTATGTAAAACACTTAGTGCCTTTTCACTATGTATTAGTTCTTATACATGTGTGTATATACATATATATATAAATTCTTCTGGATATATATAGACATAGATCACTTACATATAACATGGTATAAGTTTAAGATATACAACATGACGAATTGATACATTTATAGGCTGTAATATGATTGCCACAGGAGCTTTAGCTAACACCTCTGTCACTTTACATAACTGCCATTTCTCTTCTGTGGTGAAAGCATTTCAGGTCTAGTCTCTTAGCAGTTTTGAAGTACATAATACAGTATTGTTGACTGTAGTCACTATGCCTAACATGTTTATGCGGTATCCCAGCCATAGCCTTAAATATCATTAAATCAAGGAATTATTCGCAATTCTCTTTCACACCTTCTGATTATGTCAAGGAAAAGATCAAAGTTTAATGTGAATATGACTTTAACACACCTCTAAAACCTGCTGTTCTCCCTTTTAAGAGAAAGAAGGCTTCAAGCTCAAGTCTCTCGCAGGCAAAAAGATCTAACTAAAAAGGACCAAGTGAGCTTTGCCTGTGTTGTATTTTTGTTATTGCTTAATGGCAATTGACAGTGGTTTACTGTTTATGATAGTGATATAAATTTCCCATGTAAAATGTCCCCTGAAGCAAGATGGCAGATGCTGCCAAACTTAGAGGTGGGTCTCCTGTTCACCAGTGCGGGTGGAGGTCAGCAGTGGGTGGAGCAGTTTAGAATCTCCACAGAAGAGGGCAGATTACCACCAAGGGCAGACCGGCCTGGCAGTCAGCACACCTACTGCAAGCCCAGGAGTCCTGGAGGGAGAAAAGCAGACTTCACCTGTTACCAAGTGAGGGTCAGGCAAACACCCAATGTACCTCCCAGTAACCCATGTCTCCTGCCTTTCTTGCCACCCATGCAACTAGGGCCAAGTGCTGGAAGGAAGATGTTTCAGATGGGAAAGCAGCCTGCTGGGCCCAGCCAAGCGGTACCACAAAACAACTCAGTGGTCTCTCTCAGCAAATGGGATACTCAGCTCAAAATATGATCCCGTGATTTTCTTTGCATTTATGGCTCATCTGTTTGCAATGTTCATTGGAGGGGGGCATCAGTAAATAGATGTAGCTTGCCTTTCAAACCAGTTGTGTCCCCTTTCCCTGTGACCCACAGGCCAGGCTCGCTCACAAACACAGCCCTCTCACTGTCCTCCAGCCGGCTGGCCACCAAAGCCAGGCCTTGAGCGTGTATGGGGAGAGTTGTGCAGAGGACTCACTATGCCTCCACACTCAACCAGCCATCCCAGAGCTCCCAGTCTCAGGTGAGACAGTTATGTGAACACCTAGCTCTACAACAATGACAGCTACCACTTCTTAAGGGCCTGTTCTATGCCAGGCACATCATCTCCATCCTCACAAGAACTCGGTGAAACGAAATGGCACACAACCAGGAAGTACATGGGCTGTTTTGTGGACCCAGGTCTCTGTGCCTCCAAGCCCACACCTGTGCCTTCCCACTGTCCTCACTGCCTCGCAAGGAGATGAGTGTCGTAATGGTGCCATCCAGAGAGTGTTGGGAGAACACAGATTTCATTGTGCTTGGAATGAGGGAAGGCTCCCAAGAAAAGGTGCTATTTGAACTGAAATGTGAGGATAAATGAGGACTTTGTTGGCAAAACAAAGTAATCTAAACCATGTTCATTCATTCATTCATTCATTCATTCATTCCATGCTATATTTCTGGGTTTATGCTAGACACTAGGAATTTGGTAGAGACCAGGTGCAATTCTATCACCAAAGAGCTTGCTTCCTAGTGGAGCAGACAGGGGGAAAAAAATGAATAGAGTTACTACTAATTGTGTAGGCTGTGCAGAAACAGGTAAGGAATTCAAATGGAAAACACCAGGGAAACCTATGTTAAGACAGCAAGGGGCAGTTTGTCTGAGGAGGTGACATTTATGCTGAGCCTGAAGGATGAGGGAAAGGTGCTCTCCATTGAAGTAAGGGGAGAGCGAGTGTTCCAGGCAGACGGTACAGTGTGTGCATAGGCCCTGAGGCTGAGAAGGGAATTGTGTGTTCAGGGAACTGAAAGATGATAATGTCTGAAAGCAAGGGAGTCTAAGGAAAAGAGCTGCTCAAACGGATGTTGGGGAGAGAGGCCAGGGGCAGATGGTGTGGGGTCAGCTCAAAATATGATCCCGTGATTTTCTTTGCATTTATGGCTCATCTGTTTGCAATGTTCATTGGAGGGGGGCATCAGTAAATAGATCTAGCTTGCCTTTCAGATCAGGCGTGAAAAGTGCAGTGGGAAGCTCCTGCAGGGTTTTCAGCTGGAAAGTTATGCAATCCAGTTTACCCTCTAAGATCAGGCCCTGGTTTCCTCACCTGTAAGTGGGAGCAAATAAGAGAATGCTTAGAAAGTGCTGAGTACCCTGCCAGGTTGGAGAATGGATGGAGGATATTCTGAAACATGAGCCTGCATCAAAATCACCTGGGGTGCTTGTTAAACTCAAGACTGCTGGCCCCCACCCCAGACTCCGATGTAACAGGCCTGCAGGAGGCCCTTGAATATGCATTTCTAACAAGTTCCCAATGGATGCTGCTGCTATGGGTCTGGGGACCCCACTTTGAGAACTCCTGGATTAGCAAGAACAGTAAAGAAGTGGGAGGTGCCACTGGGGTGCTGTTGCTATCATGAAGAGCTGGTGGAGGACAACAATGTTGTTGAGGTGGAGCAAAGTGGTCCAGAATACCATGGACAAAACTAGCTGGCGGACTGGGTGCTGGGGATGAAGGGAAAGGAGAAATCAGGCAGGACACTCCTACTCTGGGCTGGAGCAACTGGGCAATGAAAATGCCTGAAACTGAAATGGGGGACACTTGAGGAGGCATGGGTTTGGAGATAAGGACTGAGACTAAGTGTGAGATTTCTGCAACCCCAGGATGGCAGTGTCAAGCGGGAAGATGGCACCTGCACAAGGACGGCAATCGTATCCAGCTTTGTACAACACCCCAGACCTGGCCTAGCATCCCTGGGTACATAATAAATATTAAGAAAATATTTGTTAGGGGCTGAAGAATAAATGGAGGCTGAGGAACTAGGATTACCAAAGGCACTGGAGGCCACAGTCACTCTGCTGAGACAAAACCATGGGCTCCACCACTCGTGGACCTTGGCATGTACAGTCAAGTGGGAGGTTGGGCAGAACCAAAGACAGAAGTGAGCTGCCCAACTCACAGCAGGGTCCTTCCTTCAGAAATCAGACATGTCACATTTGAGCCCTTCTTGGGTGGATTTTGAGCTGGAAAGGTTTGAACTGTGAGCTTAATGAGCATGAAGGACAGAGGAATCTGGTTAACTTGGGTTTTTTATAAAATAAATCATGGGAAAATCAAGCTGTGCAACTTGAGGAAATGAGTAGGGAGGGATGGCGAGACAGGGAGAGAAGAAACAGAGAACAGGAAAAGTGGCTTAACCCAGACTATCTGCCCACTAAGGCTAGAAAGGACCAGCCTCCAGAACTTGACCTCCCAGGCCCACCTTGACCTTTGGGTCCTCCCCACATTTCAAGCAGCCATTATGGAACCTCAGCCTCCCCACTTACCAAGTTGTAAATGAAAAGGCTGTAATTCCAACCAGGGGTCCTGGTGACATCACAAACCACAGAACCACAAACTTAATTCACCAGAAGCCCAAAATGGAATTACAGCCTTTTTTCCTAATCCAGGCAGCTCTGGTCACTGCCATTTTTTCATGATATAATAGAAGTAAGGAATATTTTAAGCATTTCTGTGTGTCCCTTCTCATGCAGCCAAAGGGCCCCCTCTCCCCTGTCCCCTCTCCCTTCCTTCTCCCACCCTGCTGCATGCATTCCTCCTAAGAGAGAATGAAGGGGTCTCCTTCAGCCATGTCCCCTGCTTTCCAAGACTGCCCCTCCTCCAGGCCCACTCCTCTTCCCTCTTCTGTCCAGCTCTTTTCTGCTCATCTGTCTCATCTTATGAGCTAGCAGTGCCCTGGATTCTGCCTTAAATCTGCCTTTTGAGAGAAGCCCAGTCTCTCCTGGATCTACAGCAATGTCCTGGAGAACAGACCCCATAGTATGTCTGGAATACATTCCCAAGAGTAGCAAGAAGTCATGTTTTAGATG